TCAGGCCCTCGGCCTATATCAAACATGATATGGCATGCAGCCCGATCTCATAAATATCCTCACAAATCAGGCCCTCAGCCTCACTCTGTCATAAACCTCTCAAGCCACTTAGGCTCTCAGTAAAACATGGTATTCAACCCAAAATAACATTTATATGCATCAAACTAGAGTAATAAAAATTGAGTTATGCAGTAAACAAGTAAAACCATGACTGGGTATAAATTTTCAATCAAAAATAGTGAGGAGATAGTAATAAAAGGCCCCTAAGTGTCCAAATAGCACTGGCACAAGGCCCAAACATAGCATTCAGCCCAATTTACAAAAACTCTTTCTAAAACACATAAGCATCATATAGTTTCAACGAAATATACAATTTTACAGTTGCTACGGGACGGATCAAGTCACAATCCCCAATAGTGCACGCCCACACACCCGTCACCTAGCATGTGCGTTACCTCAAAATAGTAAAATGATACAAAATCCGGGGTTTCATACCCTCAGGACTAGATTTACAATCGTTACTTACTTCAAACCGGTCAAATCTCTACCCGGCGATGCTCTTGCCTCTTGACTCAGCCTCCAAATGCTCCGAATCTATTCACAATATGTACAATACCATCAATATACGCTAATGGAATGAATTACACAAGAAAAACTACCAATTTAAACCAAAAACCCGAAATTAGCTCAAACCTGGCCCCCAGGCCCACGACTCGGAATCAGGTAAAATTCACAAATTACGAACGCTCATTCACTCGTGAGTCCAACCATACTAGTTTCACTCAAATCCGACTTCAAATCGACATTCAAATCCCAAAAATTTATTTTATGAAGTTTCTACAATTTTTCCCAAATTTTCCATCTCAAAGTACTAATCAGATGATGAAATCATTGATATATTCATGTATATTAACCAAATTCGAGTTAGAATCACTTACCCCGATAAATTTCTAGAAAAACTCACGAACAATCGCCACAAACCGAGCTCCCTAGGTCCAAAATATGAAATAATGTCCTAAACCCCATTTATATAGTGCACCCTCTGAACTCCCACTATGCGGTCCGCGAAATTCCAAGCGCGACCGCGCCTCCCAGGTCCTGCGGTCGCGAAAAACTGGTGCGGCCGTACTTTTTGGTGGCTGCACTGCCCAGGCTTTAGTATTTTGGTCATAACTTTCTCTACAGATGTCCAAATGATGACTTATTTACCTTTCTGGAAACTAGACACGAAGGGCAACAACTTTCGTTTTGAATCATCTCAAAATTCCATGTAGATAAAAAGATATAGGCTTCCAAAGTCGGACCAGCGAATCTGCAGAACTTTTCCCCCGGAGTGCGGCCGCGGCAGCATTATGCGGTCCGCGAAATTCTACTGAGGTCCACGAAATTCAAAGCACCAGAACCATACCTGAGTTCCGAAAATGCCCAGACTCGCTCAAAACTCATCCCGAAACACACTCGAGGCCTTCGGAACCTCAACCAAAGGTACCATCAAGTCCTAAAATACCATACAAACTCAATCGAGCTCTCGAATTACATCAAACAATAACAAAAACATGAATCGCACACCGATTCAAGCTTAATGCACTTGAAACCTCAAACCTCATCCGAATAACCTCAAATTTTGCACACGCGTCACAAATTACACTACGATTCTAATTCAACTCCCGGAATTCCATTCCGACTCCGATGTCAAATTTTTCACTGCCAACCGGAAATCACCAAATTTTCAATTTTGCTGATTCAAGCCTTATTCTACCACGAACCTCCAAATTATATTCCGGACACGTTCCTAAGTCCAAAATCATCTAACGGAGCTATCCGAACCAAAAAAATCCCAATCCGAGATTGATTACTCATAAGTCAATATCCGGTTGACTTTTCTAACTTAACCTTCTAAATGAGAGACTGGGTGTCTCATTCCACTTCAAAACTACTCCGGAACCAAACCTACCAATCCGATATAACATAACACAGTTGAACAATACATAAAGAAGCAAAAATGAGAAAAACGGGGCTATAACTCTCGGAACGACCGACCGGGTCGTTACAAAAAATATAGACTGATTTTTGAAGAAGAGTCGAGATAGGCGTTAATGGAGGGATACTGAAATTTGTGGAGAGAAAAATGTAGGTGAGTGCAAGATACGTGGAGGGGAGAAGGGGGGGAGGTTGTGGAGAGAGAAACGTGGGGGAGTGGAAGATACATTAGAGTGATTTTAGGACACTAATTATTATCATTAAATGCCTAAAAATGTACATAATTGATAATTAGGTATATAACATGTATTTATATTAAAATTTGAGTAGGGAGGGTAATAAAGATTGAAATAATGTATAAGAATGTAAAAATTCCCTTTTAAAATTAATAGACCCACGTCAGTCAACTGCCAGTTCCCATGTTTAACCATGTGGCTTTTTTTTCCCCATTAATTTATGGGCTACTAATCTATGATGTATAGTATTTGGTTAAACCGCAGATTAGTTTTCGTATTCCAAATGGCATGCGAATCTATTTTTTCTCAAATATCCAATTCTATATATTCTTTACCTTCACATTGATCTCAAACATAGGAAATAATTAATTCTTGAATACCTTAGTTTACTTTAGGCGCGAATAATAAATCATCGTGGTCACGAGTACGGTTTCGATGGCATGGACACTATACGTAAATTCCAATTTGGGTGTGCATTTCATGCCACCCGACCATAACTTTAGATAATAATAAAAACAAACATGTTGTAAATCGCGGGTGCATTTCACTTGACGTGATTCGCAATGTGTACCAAAAAAATAAGTGTGCGACATCGCAACTTATTCAAATAAACTCTATAAATCCTAAAAGCAATTAAAATTCTATTAAAAGCGGTTCAAAAGTTAAAAATGCACAATAGGTTTTAAACATACAATAAATCAAATAATTAGGCCAATTATTAATAGTTTAGCGACCGTGCTAAAATTACGGAATCTGGAAGTGCCTCACACCTTCTCCCGGGTAAATATAATTCCTTATCCGGTCTTCTGATTTTGGCAGACTTTAAAACAGAGTCAATTTTCTCGATTTGGGATTTTAAAATAAACCGATGACTTAGGACACCATAATAAATATTTCACGTGGCGACTCTAATTAAATAAATAATCTCATTTCGAACAATGTCACTTTAATTGCAAACACTCCCCTATCCCTCGGAAAAAAAGAGGCGTGACAGCTCTAGCGCGAGAAAGGAAGGCGCATGACTTGGACCGAGTAAAGTGCATCAAGGATGAATAAGGTAGAGTTTTGTTGGATGAGGGGCTTATCCGTCGGAGATGGCATACCTACTTTCATAGTCTCTTAAATGAGGAGGGGGACACAAGCATTGTACTAGGTGATTTGGAACTATCCGGGAGTCATTGTGGCTTTGGGTATTGTAGTCGGATTAGAGTTGATGAAGCTGAGGGTCTATGCGTAAGATGAGCAGGGGCAAAGCGACCGGGCCGAATGAAATCCCGGTGGAGTTTTGGAAGAGTGCGGGTAAGGCATTTGTCTAGATCTTGAGACTCGAGTTCAACTACTTTTGTTTGTCATGTAATAAGCAAACTTCTTAGGATATTTTAAACGTGTTCGCCACTTGAGTATAGTCTTCCAAAAGCCTATAGATATCTAATGATTTACTGAACCAAGTAAGCATTTCCTCAATAGATTCACTTTCTTTCATATGAAAGAGTTCATAGTCATGGATCAGCAGATTTATTCTTGTTTCCTTGACTATGCTTGTCGCTTTATAAGTGGCTTCCAGTTTATCCCATATTTCTTTGGCCGTATCGCAGCTTGATATATTTTCATATTCTTTTCTACTATAGTGTTGTATAGAAGATTTCGTTTATTGAAATTTACCTATATTACTGCCATTTGCTCATCATAATAATCATCTATATCCACTGGATCGGTAGATATTTGTCCATTTGTCTTCTTGTTAGACTTTACTGCTGGAATTGGAGAGTCTCCAATTTTGATTACACATCATATTTTGACGTCATAGGATTTCGCATAGATTTCCATGCGAACCATCTAATGTGAGAAATATTGTCGATTGAAATATAGAGGCCTTGACTGTGATGTTCCTTCTTGGAATCCGGACATGATCTTCGATTGACTTGAGTGTGCCGTCTTTGAAGCATCATGGGTTAACGCCTTGCTTTGCTTCTGGGATATGCCTGCAAATAAGAGTGATGTTATTTTTCACCATTGAAACTTGGATCTAACGGTATTATGCTTTTCTTCTCATTTATAGTAGAAAACTCTCTCTATTTCTGTCCCCGAGGATTAGGCTTAGCCAAACCTCGTTAAATCCTTATATTGATTTTTCTTCTCTATTTGTTTTGTGTGCGCTTGTGTGTTAGTTAACCCACGATCTTACACAACAAGTACAAATATGTATTTAAAATATTTCAACTATATATATGTAAAGTTCGAGCGAAGAAAATGGTTGCAGCTGCACCCATTACGGCGTTACCTTCAATTTGTATCTGCCTCAAAACCTTTGTAGTTACAATTGACGAAAAATAGGGCACATTTTAACATGAAACTTTCCAACTAATAAGTTTTCCTTTCCTAACATTGCAGTCTTCGCTAGCTACATGGATTTTATCATTTTCTGTTCTCCCACCATATTAATCAATTGAAAGACAAGCAGTAAAGTTACTAATTTTTCGTTAACTATTATATAGTGTACTCCTAGCTATTGTCTAACCATATAAATTAATTGAAAGACAAGCAGTAATGTTAATCATAAGCCGGCTGTTTGTAGTTTACTATATGTATTGCCTATCATGTCAACATCCAAATAGGGTCCCTTGATTCAAAGATCAAATGAATAGTATAACAATATGTGCTGCATATAAAGTTTTGCGAAGAACAATTATAAATTTACTAAGACATACATTTCGGAGCCCAATATTTTCTTAGTTCAGAACCCACAGCGTCTAAATTCTGAATTCGCCACTGCTGATGATCCAGATGGTTGTAGACGAAGCAGAAAAAAGTTGTGTCGTTCTGGTACCATCTCCTTTCCAAGGGCATATAACGCCTATGCTTCAACTGGCTTCTACGCTTCATGCTAAGGGATTTTCCATTGTTATAAACCACTCTGAGTTGAATCCTCCAGATAGCTCCAAACATCCTGAATTTACATTCTTGCCACTGAAGGATGGCTTGTCAAACAGTGATTCTTCTTTATTGAACCTATTGAACATTATACCAGCAATGAATATGAATTGCAGAGTTCCATTCCAAGACTATTTGGTCCAAATGATGGAAAAATCAGAGCTCTATGGTCAAATCTCTTGCATAATCTATGACCACCTAATGTACTTCACAACTGAAGTGGCTGATCATCTTAAACTTCCAACTATTCTCCTCCGGTCAAGCAGTTGTGCTTATATGCAAGCTACTTGCGCCTTTCTTCAATTCCAGGCAGAAAATTTTACTCCCTTGCCAGGTAGGGTATGGAGAATACTGTGTTTGGTACGTCAAAAAATGTCTTTTATAGTTTCAATGTTTCGCTATTTCGAATCGTGAAAAATGTTTTCTTCAATACAATTTTTTTTCCCAAATACATATGCAACCTTTGATCAATGAGTTCAACTGAACCTAGTATTTTCGATACAGAATATTTATGTATGTGTATAAGCTTAAACCACTAACATTCCAAAAAATATTAAGTTTTGAATGAATTCAGTGCTATAAAACTTAGGTTGAACACATCAAGTTTAATTCTTAGCTCTGCCTCCGGCAAGGGATCTTTACAAGAATCCCAGATTTTAGTTCATATCAGCTCCATCAACCTTTACTATACAAATTAACAACTAAAACACATACTTTTAACTTATTCTATATACCTTCTGCAATCAATAACCTAGAAAAGAATTTCTCAAAGTAGAGTATTTCACAAACTATATTGTCACAACCTGGTCCTGAGCTTTAAGACTAATTTACCTACTTATACAATTACAGAGTCTAAGCTGCTGCATCCGGTGCCCAAAGTACCAGCCCTCAGGTTCAAGGATCTCCCATTTGTTCTCACTTCCGAAATTCCAGAGCCTCTATTGCAGTTATTAGAAAAGGTGGCTAACATAGGATCTTCTGTGGCAATCATTGGGAACACTACAGAGAATCTTGAGAACCGAGCATTGTTATGGCTCCAGCAACATTATCAGGTTCCTATTTTCACAATAGGACCTTTACACAAAATGGCCTCCTCCTTGCAAACCAGTTTAGCAGAAGAGGACGCCAGTTGCATTTCGTGGCTTGATACTCAAGCCACTAACTCTGTTCTTTATGTAAGCCTAGGGAGTATAGTTGTTATGGATAAAAAGGAGTTGATTGAGACAGCTTGGGGATTGTTCAATAGTAACCAACCATTCTTGTGGGTAGTTAGGCAAAGTTCTATAGATGGTTCAACGTCGATTGAACATGACTTACCTGATGGCTACTTGGAAGCAGTTGGAGATCGAGGTCGTATAGTAAAATGGGCACCACAAAAAGAAGTATTGGCGCATCGTGCAGTTGGAGGATTTTGGAGTCATTGTGGATGGAATTCGACATTAGAAAGTATTGTTGAAGGGGTTCCCATGATTTGCAGGCCATGTTTTGGTGATCAGAATGTGAATGCAAGATACATAACGCACGTATGGAAAGTAGGCCTTCAAATAGGATCTGATGATTTGACTAGATGTGTCATAGAAAGTACAATAAGAAAACTTATGGTGGAAGAAGAAGGCAAAGAATTGAGGCAAAGAGTAGTTGATATGAAACAGGAACTCCAGATGTCTTTTCAAGATGGTGGCTCGTCACATAATTCCTTGAAGAGTTTAACAGAATTCATCTCTTCATTCTAATCAGAAGAATCTATGATCAAGATCTAAGTTGAAAGATCTTGTGTATTAATATTGTTGCAATGCTAAACAAAGGAACGATATTTCCTGTTGGGATATACTATTAATCATGCGGTTTAAACATAGTATTATATTTTATTTTTTATGGAACAATTATTTATTTAATTTATTCAATTCAATAAAGTACTATTTTTGTTACATGTGTGTCCTTTTAGTTATGTAGTAGACAATTTAGTGTATGGAGTCTTAGCTCATGCGCATGAGATTAAATTGTTGGTTCTCATAATTAATAAACTATGTTCACAATCAAAGATATTGTTGGACAAAATATCTTGATGATTGTAGCACAAGATTATCGTATAATTTATCTTGATTATGGGAGTAGTTTTACTCCAATTCTTGTGCTAGTATACTCAGTGTATATTGAACGGACCAAGTAGAGAAAAGATGTTTTTGTACTGAATATATCAAATATATTCTCTAATTCATTAAATGAGCTTATACTCCTAATCTTGATATAATTATTATGATCAATGTAATTTGTTTATTGTTTTGATTTATCAAAAGGTACGACTCTATTTAGAGTTAGTATATGCCTAATAGATTGGACAATAACGAATAACATTTGTGAATAATAATTAGTTGATAGAATCCATGACTCGATTTTGGGTTTAATGATACCCCTTTATGTAAACTTATAAGTTTTTATGTGAAAACCCGGCCGCTGGATTTTGTATCCGTCACATGAAATAGTTTAAGCGGAATTATAAAGGATTTAATTAGTTAATTGAATTAAATTTTCAGTGATTTAATTTAATTAACTGGTATTTGAAATCTTAACATGAGGAGTTAAATAAGTGTTAATGAATTTTCGAAATTCATATTGAGGAGTTCAATTGCAGTTTTTTAGTGGAATAAACTGCAATTAATTATAGTAAGAATTAATTCATGCTAATTTTGAATTAATACTATAATTAGTAGCATCTTATTATTTCTGTGGTCCATGTTATACCTAGTAAAAACCTAGACAGACTTGGGTAAAAAGTAGCTTGGGAGAAAAGTTATCCTTTTGAGTTAGAGTAGGATTCTACTTGCAGAATCCTACACGTTTTTGAGCCCCTATTGTGGCTTAATTTCGGGTCTATTAAAGGAAGACTAGTTTCACCTAATAACTTACCTTTCAGTTGTATTGTTCTTGCCCAGCCAATAGCAAAATCATCCAAGGTTTTACTAGGCAAATAGCAGAAGACTGCATCCCCGGATTCTTGCTACTTGGAAGGTTTGTGCAACTACTTCAAGAGGTTAGTGCTTCTAATCTCATTATTATTGCGTTGTCTAGTTTACATGTATTTGATGTCTGGTTAGTATGCTTGCTTCCGCTGCGCATGGTTTAACAATTGGTATCAGACGTCGTCTTACATATAACTAGATAATGTAATACAACATGCATAGAGTAATATTAAAATGTGTTATTTATTGATACATGTTTGTGATGATTATTCTTTGTTAAAAACGTGATTGTATTTATTAGTATCTTAATTTTGTAATTCTGAAATTATTAATTAATATACACATGTATAAACAGTGGTGTTATATTTAAATAACAGTCTGTTTAAATTACGTTTTTTGCTGAATAGCAATTTTTTGATAAAAACGTGATTGTGTTTTTGAATGATATTAATTCTGTAATTATGCGTTAATATACATATGCATAAACAGTGAATTAATACCATTAATCTGTTTTAGTTGCGTTTTGTCCATAATCACAGTGTTATATTAATAAAAACTTGACTGTTTTGTATGGTATTAGTTCTGTAATTTTGGATTAATATACAGAATTATGGACAGTACCATTTTTGACTAGTGAAAAATATATTATTTTTACAATTCTGTCTAAACACGTTTTTATTATAAAATAAAAAAATATTTTGAGTTCTGAAATCATGTGTTAACAAACATCAGTATATTATGTGATTTGAACAAGTCAAAATAATTAAAACCCCTTAAAACGCCAAAAACAGAATTCTAGAAATTTTAGAATTCTGAAATTCTGTCAAACTCTGATTGACCTCAAATTTGGTAGGTTCATCGGAAACGGCCCAACTTAAAAAACTCATCAAATTTGCTAATGATGTACGTCATTTTTGGGCATTCGGGGTCGTTTAGATGGAGTTTTGGCCCTTTTTCTATTTTCTGGAATTTGTTTTAATAAAAAAATATTAATAGAAATCTGTGATGGTAGGGTTCAATTCCCATTATTTCCAATCATGTTTTACAGTAATATAATGAATTTATATGTTGACATAGGTCTTCTTCCACATCGGATAAATTCATTATAGATGATTACTGTAGTTTTGCCTCTAGTTATTTCATTACTTGTATTAACTCTCCAACCGAGTTACATATTGATTGAATGAAACTAGAGTTTATAAAAGTGAAATTTAACTATCTTAAATTAACAGTTTACTCTCCATCTGAGTTGGTCCTGTTTAAATTTATGGGGTTAATCTTACATCACTCATATATTTTGCATGAATAGTTAAGTTTCCCTAACGAATCTAACTGTTCAATGAGCATGGTTATATGTGTAATGTGTTATTTTGAATTTAATCATTCTAAATGCATAACTAATGATCTATTTAATGTGAATATCTCTCTGATTAATCATGTCTTCATTCAACCCACTTACTTCAATTTTGGACCAAAACAAGTTAGAAGGACCGAATTATGTTGACTGGAAAAGGAACCTTGATAATGTCCTAACTGCTGAAGGTTACAAATTTGTAATCATTGAGGAGTGCCCAGAAAAACTTGAAAATGCTACTGATGATCAGGTTAAGGCCTATGACAAATGGGTTAAGGCTGATGAGATGACGCGATGTTACATTTTTTCCTTTATGGTGAATGTTTTGCAACATCAGCATCAGTCTATGGAGTCTGCTTATGATATGCTCGAAAGTCTCAAAGAGATGTTCGATGAACAAAATCGTGCAGCTAAACAGACATCCATGAAAGCCCTTTTGAACACCAATATGGCTGAAGGATTATCGATCAGAGACCATGTTCTGAAGATGGTGAGTCTTCTGAATGAACTGGAGATCCTTGGAGCTGTGATTGATAAGGAGTTTTAAGTTGAGATGGTCCTGCAGACTTTGCCTGACAGTTTTCAACAGTTTCGATTGAACTATAATATGAACAAAATGGATTTGTCACTAGCGAAATTGTTGAATGAGCTACAAGCGGCAGAATCTATTATCAAACAACAAGCTCCAATTGTGGCACTCAATGTTGAAAAAGCTTCGGTTTCTAAGTCGAAAGGCAATAAGAAAAAGAAGAAGGCTCAAAAGTTTCTGGCACCTGGTGGTGCGGCAGGTGTGAAAAAGCCCAAAGGCAAGTGCTATCATTGCAAGCAACCTGGGCATCACAAGAAGCAATGCCCTGCCTATCTGGCAAAGTTGAATAAGCAAGGTAATTCAAATTTAAATGTCGTTGAAACTTGTTTAGCGGCTGTTTCTACCATGTTTTGGTGTGTAGATTCGGGAGCCACTAATCACATCTAAATTACTTTGCACAGGGGTTTCAGGAAACGCAACGGCTAAGTGAGAATGAAGTTTGCATTTTTCAAGCCAATGGCGAGCCAGCACCAGCTTTAGCTTTAGGAGATATTAGAGATTCGTTTAGTAGTGATACAGTTTATGTTTTAAAAGATGTTCTCTATGTACCTTCTATTAGAAGGAATTTGGTTTCGGTTTCGAAAATAATGGATGCTGGTTATAATGTTTATTTTGCTAACAACTCTGCTGTTATTAAGTTTAATAAACATTTTATCTACACTGCTGCTAGAGTACATGACCTTTTTATTCTTTATATATCTCCTCATGTGCTACAACAACCAAAAGAACTAAATAACATTAATCTACCACATAAAAGAAAACGTATTTCTGAATTGAGTCAAACTTATTTGTGGCACTTATGTCTAGGCCATATAAATCTAAATAGGATTTCGAGATTGGTCTCTAATGGACCTTTGAGTTCATGAAAGTGGAGTCACTACCAACATGCGAGTCCTGTTCAGAAGGCAAAATGACTAAGAGACATTTCCCCTCAAAAGGAAATAGAGCCGGTGATAAGCTAGAATTAATTCACTCTGATTTGTATGGTCCTATGAATATACAAACAAGAGGTAGTTTTGAGTATTTTGTGAATTTCACATATGATTACTCAAAATATGGATATATTTATCTGTTGCGACGTAAGTCTGAATGCTTTGAGAAATTCAAAGAATTTAAGACGGAAACGGAGAAACGACATGATAAATATATCAAAACATTGTGATCTGATCGTGGTGGTGAATACCTTTCTGCGGAATTCATAAAATACTTATCAGATAATGGAATTACATCTCAATTATCTTCCCCAGGAACACCACAACAAAATGGTGTGGTAGAAAGAAGAAATAGGACGAAATAGGACCTTTATGGAAATGGTTAGATCAATGTTAAGTTATTCCGATTTGCCTTATTCCTTTTGGGGATATTCTTTAGAAACAACAAACTACATTCTAAATTTGGTTCCTTCAAAGTCAGTACCTTCAACTCCAGTAGAATGGTGGAATGGGCGCAAGCCAAATTTACGGCATATTCGGGTTTGGGGTTGTCCAACACATGTGTTGAAAGAGAAAGCGGATAAATTGGAATCAAGGATAGAAGTATGCATTTTTATTGGATATCCAAAAGGAACAAAAGGCAGTTTGTTTTATTGTCCCAAAGAAAAGAAGGTAATTGTTGCGACAAATGCCAGATTTTTTGAAGAGGACTATCTAACGAACCATATTCCTAGAAGTAAACTAGTTTTACAGGAATTAAACAATGGAGTAACTAAAAACTCATCTCTAGAACGTATCCCGGAAGCCAGTATTGACATACCACTGCATTATCGTAGTGGGAGAAATGTCAATAGGCAGCAGATTGCACAAGATCAATTGCATGACATCTCACTACCCCAAAGTAGTGGGAGTAATGTTGAGCAACCTCAGATTGTTGAGCAACCTGAAATTGTTATGCAACCTGCACTCTAGGAAGAAGTTAATGATATCCAAGCAC